ATCAGATTGCTTTTCTGACTCTCAGAGTTATTTATGCAGAACTCGCGTACATTAAACAAGTAAGTATTTATCTACTCTGGTATATACGTAAACAGAAAAGGCTGTCTGACTACAGCAGGGTCCGCAATTACAAGTCAGCCACAACTTTTCTGTGTGATTATTGGCTACAGTCAACCTGGAAAAAAAATATTTCTGTTGGATTTTAACGTCTTCAGATGCTTTTAAACATCCCTGAGACTACAAAGGCACTATAGAATTTTGCAAATAAGCAAACTTTTTTCCCGCTAGTTGCACAGCATGTTTTTAGCAAAGGAAAACATGTGTGGGAAATAAGCAAATGCACTTTTCAAAATTAATTTGTGTCAAGGATGAAGCTGTCTCCAACTTTAATTTCAATCTGAAAAGGATTTCATCACTTGATATTTCTCTTTGTCGACATATCTACATCAGTTTCTCATACAGTTTTTTACAACAGTGGAAAAATCTTGAGAAAACCATGCTATGAGTTACATATTGTAATGTACACCCTGTCTGGCTACATTTTAACCCAAGTAGCACTCACACATGCCTACACAGTCAAATTCTCTTGGTGAACTCAATATTAAGGCCTCTCTTGCAAAGTCAAAATGGGTAAATCTTCATTTTTATTTCTGTGAATTAGGTTAATTTATTTTGAGACTATATTTAGTCTAAAAATTCAATAATGCCAACTGTACTCAGTATTGATCAGTATATCAAAAGTTAGGTAGATAGTTAGATATAGATGATGCAGCTTTTTTTCTGGTGTTACTCAATTATCCAACCTCCATTAATGCACATATATTTTAATCATAATGTAGGTGAACAAGTTAAAATAACAAAGTAATCAGTGATGGGATAATTATGTAATATTGAAGACATGATTATGAGGCCCTAGGTGAAGCAATTAATAAGTCTAACCATTATGTTAGTTTGACATCAACACACGCATTGCTAAGAGTAATGTAATCCATGCTGCTTTTAAGAAACCTTTGCTCCTGAAAGAAATTGTTGGCTTCAAATTTTGTTTCTTTTGCAGCTAAAGACAAATGAACTTGCTACAACGTGGAATGGTTTCATTAGTGTAGCACATATATGACCCAGCAAAGAGTAAACCCGTATATTTCCTATTATGATATTTCCAAAGCATTTCTGGTCACACTGTATCCTATTTCTTCTTTTAAGTTCATAGAATGGAAACTGGAAATGAAATCATTGTTTTCTGCTAAAATCAGGGAAGTCTTTTCTGTAGCTTTTTTTTTTTAAGTTATACATGGAGTGAGAGCACAAGTGAACTTGTCTATTGTCCAAAATTAGAGTCACTATGTGTAGCAATATTGGGTTATTAATTTTAAATGCAAAAAACACACAAACATACATAGATCATTAAAGTCTTTAAATAATGTTTAAAATTAAAATGACTTTCTTCAAGGTTATCCAATAGTCTCTGTAATAACTTTCTGTAAATCTATTTTATTCAGCAAGATACACTGTGACATACAGTTATTTGCCCAACCAGAAAATATCCCCCATTTCTTCTATATTAATACTCAGCTGATTTTATCCAGGTATAAAGAAGGGATATGCTCAGCAAGAAAGTGAACCCTTTATCCCCAGGGCTTGAATTATGATATGATTTAATATGATTTATTCATATGATATATTCATGGTTAATTCATGACCTGGTGTTAGTTATTGTTTCAGTGTGGGCATATGAATTCGTCCTGAACAAAGAGACATGAAAGGACATGTGCTGAGAAATACTCTGGAATCTTTCCCCTCTCTTTCTTAAAAGAAATTTCTAAGAAATGACTTGCTGCTTTTGGTGTCACTGTCAGGACAGGATGCCCAGAATTGCTGTAATTGCGATGATGAAAGTCCAGAGAACTGTAGAGAAGCCTTTTGGAAACTCTGAATCTTTGAACTGCTAAACTAATCAATCCTCGAAATACTTGCCTCTGAATTTTCAGTTTCATTTAAGCTGCATTTAATTGGATATTCTGTTCCTTAGAACAGACTCTTTGTGACCCTGTGGACTGTAGCTTGCCAGGCTCCTCTGTCTGGAATTCTCCAGGCAAGAATACTGGAGTGGGTTTCCATACCATCCTCCAGGGGATCTTTGCAACTCAGGGATTGAACCCAGGTCTCCTGCATTGCAGGCAGATTTTTTACCATCTGAGCCACCAGCAAAGCCTTTATATATTAAACTTATTTTATCATAACCTTATATTAGACTAATTTTTCTGCGTATCTTATTTATCAACTTCTACTATAGAGCTTTCATGGATAGACTGATACCTGTCAATAATCTTTGAAAAAGGTGATAAATCTTGCCTGAATTCACTGCCAGCTAATCCCATTTGTATTCATATGCATTTTCTTGATTTTTACATTTTCTTAGACTTTTTCACACTGTTTTTTATGTCTAAAGGTAATCTCTATTAGTTTTTTTATATCATTGTCTGTAAGCACTGTATCATAGATATATATTTTTTTGCTCTTTTAATGCACTAATTCTCTTTTAATAGTCTTCAGGTAGCGTTACGGTAGAGCAGGGTTTCCCTAATAGCTCAGCTGGTAAAGAAGCCACCTGCAATGCAGGAGACCCTGATTTGATTCCTGGGTTGGGAAGATGCCCTGGAGAAGGCTACTCCCTTCAGTATTTTTGGACTTCCTGAAGGTAAAAAATCCACCTGCAGTGTGGGAGACATGGGTTTGATCCCTGGGCTGGGAAGATTCCCTGGAAGAGGGCATGGCAATCTACTCTAGTATTCTTGCCTGGATGATCCCATGAACAGAGGAGCCTGGTGAGCTATCGTCCACCGGGTCACAAAGAGTCGGACACAATTGAAGCGACTTAGGAGCAGCAGCAGCAGCAAGCTGTCAATGAAGTCACTGACCTCCTCATGTCCACTCTATTTTTGTGTTCTAGAAGTTTAATTTGATTAGTTCTAATTGTGCTTCATCATTGTGTCTTGATTTTCCATAATTTCTAATTTCTTTTTAATTTCAACTTTGCTTCTTCAAACATTAAATTTAGTTAATTCATTTTAATTGATTTTATTTTCAAAATGTATTAACTCCTTAGTTATTTCTGCTAACTGCTTTGTCATGGTGGCTTTCTCCTAGTGTGTTTCTGTGCTTTTTATCTCTATGTTTATTATCATTGAGATATTACCTGGGACTATGCTGAGGCTTGTGTTTGAGAAGGCTGCTATAAGCATGATTTGAACACAAGTCTTTTAAACATGAGTCCTCACCTGACACCAAACTATGTATTTAGTTTAGGTTTATAAACTAGTGATTAGTGTAAATCCTGAATGCATATTTGAGTGAGAGATGGTTTGTAGCTAAAAAATCACAGGGAAGACTTTTTTTTTTGCCTACTCAAAGCCAAGTTCAGTAAGGGCAAGTTTCTGTTTTATGTTTCTTTTCCTCATCCTCCTCTCCATCCCTTCACTAAGAGTATTTCTTTTGCTTTCAGTTGTTTCACTTGAAATTCTATAACTGACTTTCTACCCTTGTAGACTCTCAGCTTTGTTTCGGGTTCCTTTAGGAACTGACCAACAGTGACTATTCAGGGCCTGGGCAGCTGGCAGGTCAGAAATAGCACCTCACTGAACCTGCATTTTCTCAACATTTTCAGCATCTAAGGAGTACCTCAAATTTTTTTGCCAACTCATCTATGTAGTGTAAAGAGTTTTCTTAAAAATTACATTTTGCCAGCAATTTTAGGTGTTCGATACACCTTAAAAAGATGTCGGTGTTTAGATACACTTGGCTGAAAATGGAAACACCCTTTTCCTTATTTCTTTACAGCCTAACTAAGTGTTATTCACACAGAGCTATGAATGAGTCCTCATTGAGTCCTCAACATCCTTAACTCAGTGAGCTTCTTTTATGAAGTATGTATTTACTTGGTAACAAAGTCAAAGACACTGATTTTCCATTCTCCCATCATTCTACTTTCTATTTCACCTATTTCCTACCTAGCTGTGTATGTGCTCAGCTGCTTCGGTCGTACCGACTCTTTGTGACCCCATGGACTGTAGCCCACCAGGCTCCTCTGTCCATGGGACTCTCCAGGCAAGAATATTGGAGTGGGTTGCCATGCCGTCCTCCAGGGGATCTTCCCCACCCAGGGATCGAACATGAGTCTCCTGTGTCTTCTGCATTACAGGCAGATTCTTTACCTCTGAGTCACGGGGGAAGTCTCCGACCTAGTTACTTTATTATAATTTATGTATTTCTTTGAACTATTTTAAGTATTTTTTGGAAAAAAATATAATGTGAATACATCTATGATACAAAAATACTTTAAAATACTTCTGTTTTTATCTTTTTATAGTTTACAGGGCGTTGTTATACACATTATGCTATTCTTGTTTTCTTCAAGATGTATGCAGTGAGGGTATTCTTATGTGGCCAAAAAATGATTCCCCAGGTAGTAATGCCTATATCAGAATCCAGATTCTAAATCCTGGTCCAGTGCTCTTGTGCTTGAGTAAGACAAACTGAGTATTTTGAATATTTAGAAAGGACACAATAAATAAGCCTCACCATATGTTGCAAATCCCCTAAATTCAAGTTATCAGGGTGTTCTCTGACTGAGGATAAGCAAGTTGAAATTGATGTAAAGTCCACTTTCCCCAAAATACTTAATTCTAACTTCTGAAATACTTTCCTTATAATTGTTGAAGAATTTATTTCTGGCAAATCACTTCCTACTTGCCATTTAGATTAATAATTTACTATTTGATAGATACTTTATACAGAAATATTTTGGATATTATTAACTTATAATTGGCTCAATTAATTAAATTGATTGTAGATGAATTTGTTTACCTGTTTAAATGTGAGATATTGCCAAAATTCAAAAAACTACAGAAAAGAATAGAGCGCAGGGAGAAAAGAGAGCTTATTATCATTTTCAGAGTGACAGATAATTTTTTCACACTCTATTTAAAATTAGCACTACTTACAGCTTTATCTGCAAAGGTCTCTTCATAAAATGCCAGTATCAGAGTAAACTGTACCAGTACATATATCTTCAATAGCTGAGATGCCGATGATGTGAAAGGAACTTCTTTCCCCTCAACCTAGGAAGACAGAAAAAAACTTTTCCATGATATTGTTCCATTATCTCTCTCATTGAAATTCACACTAAGTGAAGAGGAGATATAAAAAAAGAAATGAAAGATTTTGCTTTTTTTTAATCCTTGAAACGATTCATGTTTATTATTTCAGATAGAAAAAATATAAAAATTAGGAGACTTGTTTCTCGTTTCAGAAACATTATGAGTCTGATCTTGTCTGCTTTATATAGAGCAATGTAAGAATTGATACTGATGATTAACATAAAATGAACATGTTAAATGAAATATTAAAATATGTCCATGATTATATGTCAAAGTATAGCAAAAGAGAAAATGGAAGGTGATTTGGGGTAATGGAGATAATCTTGCTGCAAAGAGAAACACTGTCTTATTGAAAACAACTTTCCCAGACTACAGTTTCCCAGAAACACTATAATCCTATCCTTACAATGCAGATTTAGGCATCGATATGACTTTAAAATATTCACTTAGAATTATCTATTGAAAAAAAGGAAAATAATAAATGAACCATAGCTGTCTAGACTCTCTGGAGCTGAAATAAGCAAACTATTTTCACCTCTATCAGTTTAGAATGCTGTTCTATAACTAGCTGTGAACATAACCAGGTGTCTGGGAAATTCCGACACAGCAGCTTTCATAACTGCAAGAGAAAACATCCTTATTTAAATTGAGATTTTTGAAAAATAACATATTCAAATCAAACATATGACTTCATTTCCTTGAAATACTGACTAATTTTTATACTCATAATTATCTCTGAAATCAAGAGTGGCTTATTGTTTTTGTATTACTATTAATGACAGTTATCTTGATAAACAATCACAATATATATGCTAAATGATCGGAAAGACATTCCTTTTTCATTTTCATCAGAGGAATTCCATATTGAAACTGAATTTTTCATTTGGATTTCTATGTTTTACATCTCCACTTTGCTTAATGTTTTATTTTTAATGGATTTCTGCATTTACTGCTACCACTACACAATGGAATGAATAAAGCTGTGGTCGAATCCAATAACCACATCATTTTGGTGTGGCTTCAGATCCTCAATTCTGTAGATCTCAGTTTTTCATGGACAAATGAAGGCTGGACGGAATCATCCAAAGGGCTCCCTCCTCCTCTCACATTCTAGGTTCTGTGAGGGACCCACAAGTGTCTGTGTGGTTTCTGCACTACACAAAGGCTCTTGGCTGTGGGTTTGAGCCAAGAAAACCAGTCTCTGGTGCTTTGCCCCAAACCATGCTGCCTACGAAGAGGCAGCATCAGTCTGGGAGACGGCACCCCTCTTATTGGCCCCTAGGTGGTGTCCACTCATTAAGTTACACATTGTGTGACTGCATCTGCCTCAGGAAACATCTTTTTTCAGATTTGCATGAAGTCAGCATGAATTACAGGCTGGCTGAAGACCTGACAATAGGAAATTAATCTTTGCCATCATCAAATTCATGAATACTATTTACCTCTGGGATTTCTTCAATCAGTCCAAGTCTTGGTTTACCTGGACCCCATCCTGGTCCTTTAAATATGACAGAAAACTTATTGAAGAACCCAGGCGTGGCCCAGAATGTAGTCCATATGTTAACTAAATGATGGAACTAGAAGAATAAAAATTTAATTCATTTGAAATAAGGAAAACCCACAACAAAAAGGTTACATACATTAAGTCAAGTGTTTTATCTTATTGTATAATGCAATTTATATATTATTCTTTAATATATAGTTATATATAATTTGCTAATGATGATTAATATGCAATTGTGTTATAAATTGAAATTTATTCTATGCTTTCTATACACCTTTATGCTTAAATGTATTCTTATCAGTATTTCTAAACCTCCACAAAGTTTGAAATTTTTAAATATGGGAATAGTTTAGAAAAATCAACAAAGAGTAAAAAAATGAGTTCAGAGACTTTACTCCCAATGGTATTAACTAGCAGCCTGTGCACTCAACAAGCCATGTCGAACGACATCTTTTCTAGACTTGCTAAACAGCTGTTAAAGTTGAACTAGAATCATATAAATATGCATATCTGCTATATATTTTTAAAAGAATTTTATTTACCATATTGAATTACAGGTAAACATATCACATTAAGAAAAAAATTTCAGCGCCATTTCTAAGGGTAGATTTATAAGTGTTTTTCATATTCTATAACACGAAAAAAGTTTACTGAGTCAAAAGTTTACCTTGAGGCTTATAGCAGCAATTCACATTCTTTAAGTAACACCCATTGATAGGTATAAAGTTAAAGTATGCACAAGTACTCATTAAATATTGGCTATTAGGATAATTAGCTATATATGCCACACATGTTATAATAACGCATCATAGAATTAAAAATAGTCCTAGATATTGGGCATCAGCTATAGACTCTAAAAATGAGTTCTATTATAAGTGCAGTGATAAATTAATGCAGAGAGAAGTTTTGGTTCTATCAGACTTAGTGGTCTCATGTGTATTTTCATGATCTCTTACAGAATTTAAACTGCTAACATTATAAAAATGGCTTTTAAAATTACTTGAAATATTACAATAGGACTCTAAAGCAATTAAGGAACAATGGAGGATTTAGCTGAGGCTTTGTAATAAAAAAAATAATAATACAGAAAATTAATAGCATGACACACATTAATACACTTACCTGTTTTGTTAATTTAAAAACTGACTGTAAATGTATTACTATCATTCTAGACACAAGCCATGAGAAATACATGGTAATGTTTTTAAATAAAGAGCACTTTCTCACTTATTTACTTATTTCTCTGCCAATGGCCTGAAATACCTGGACCCCAAAGGAAAGCAAAATGAATGGTCTACGCTTAAAAATAAAGAAGGAAAAAAAAGCCCTCTCTATCTAACAGGGGCCATTCTAAGTTGATTTTGAATCCTCTGCTGGGAAGGCGAGAAATTTAGCTAAATATAGAGGGATACAAGTAGATATAAGGGATACAAGGGATACAAGTGAAAGTAGATATGCAATTTTGTAAGTTGACTCCTAATTATTACAATTTCCTGATTTGATAATTCTGACAATATAAGGGAGTATGAGAAGACTAAACCTTAGACACAGTTCTGACAATTGTTATGCTGAAGGAAATTTTATTTGAGGGCAGAAGCCTGGATTATTGAGCACACAGATTCAGCAGCAGCTCATAAAGACCTGTGATTGTCTGAGTATTGTGTCTTCAAAACCTAATCGTCCAATTCCTTGTGCAGCTCACGCCATGCAGTTTTCAACCTCTTATTGTATCTCAAATAAGAGTCCCTTTTCCTCCACGTGTACACTCCCCAAGCCTTGCTAGTTAAAGGATCACCATGAACCAGCAGTGTCTGCATCTCCTGGCAGCTTGTTAGAAACACAGAGTCTTGGATGGAATTCGACCTACTGAACCCACCCTTTAATCAGATTCTCCCATGACTCATATGCACATTAGGTTTGAAAGGCTCTCTACGAGTGGACAGAGACTAAGCTGTATTTCCTTTTTAATCTCTACATTATGAAGACAAGACCATACCCAATGAAGAAGTGTCTCTAAGTGTATTATCTTGAAACTTGACTTCAGTTCTATAAAGAAAGTACCTAGAAATATTTATTAAGAAAGTACCTGGAAATATTTGCTAACATCTTCCTGAATAAAAAAAAAATCTATCACATTCTTAGTAGCACCTAAGAGTGAGAAAATGAGAGAGGAAAAAAATACCATTAGTTATGAAGAAAGAAGAGAAATAATCAACTTTTCTCTTCTGAATGGTGACATAAAAATGCCCTTTTTTTTGAAAAGTGAAGTCAATTTATGACAGCCTTTTGCATAAAATTCAGCTGATCAAGTTTGGAACTGGGCCTTCAGTCCACTCTCCTTTTAGGTTTGAATCTGACAAACTGTGAATAGTTGGAGGAATTATTTGAATCCTGCGAATCTCAGTTCTATTCACCAAAAAAAAAAAAAAAAAAAAAAACTGAGGCTAACAGAAGGTATGAAAGATAACAGAAGATATGAAAGAGATGGGAATACCAGACCACCTGATCTGCCTCTTGAGAAATCTGTAAGCAGGTCAGGAAGGAACAGTTAGAACTGGACATGGAACAACAGACTGGTTCCAAATAGGAAAAGGAGTACGTCAAGGCTGTGTATTGTCACCCTGCTTATTCAACTTATATGCAGAGTACATCATGAGAAACGCTGGGCTGGATGAAGCACAAGTTGGAATCAAGATTGCTGGGAAAAATATCAATAACCTCAGATATGCAGATGATACCACCCTTATGGCAGAAAGTGAAGAAGAATTAAAGAAGCCTCTTGATGTAAGTGAAAGAGGAGAGTGAAAAAGTTGGCTTAAAGCTCAACATTCAGAAAACTTAGATCATGGCATCTAGTCCCATCATTTCATGGCAAATAGATGGGGAAACATAGAAACAGTGACAGATTTTATTTTGGGGGGGCTCCAAAATCACTGCAGATGTTGACTGCTCCCATGAAATTAAAAGATGCTTACTCCTTGGAAGGAAGGTTATGACCAACCTGGACAGCATATTAAAAAGCAGAGACATTGCCAACAAAGGTCCGTCTGGTCAAGGCTATGGTGTTTCCAGTGGTCGTGTATGGATGTGGGTTGGACCATAAAGAAAGCTGAGCACTGAAGAATTGATGCTTTTGAACTGTGGTGTTGGAGAAGACTCTTGAGAGTCCCTTGGACGGCAAGGAGGTACAACCAGTCCACCCTAAAGGAAATCAGTTCTGAATATTCATTGGAAGGACTGATGCTGAAGCTGAAACTCCAATACTTGGGCCTCCTGATGCGAAGAACTGACTCATTGGAAAAGACCCCGATGCTGGGAAAGATTGAAGGTGGGAGGAGACGGGGATGACAGAAGATGAGATGGTTGGGTGGCATCACCGACTCAATGGACATGAGTTTGAGTGAACTCCGGGAGTTGGTGATGGACAGGGAGGCCTGTCATGCTGCAGTCCATGGGGTCGCAAAGAGTCAGACACAACTGAGTGACTGAACTGATCTGAATAGAAGATAAACCTTAGTAAGTTTTAACAATGGTTAAATATTTGTGCAGTTAGCAATGCCCTGCATATAGTCAAAGCCCAATAAATGTCAATTTTCTTACTTTAACTTTCTTTAAAAACTTTGAGGAAGTAGGTTTGTAAAGCAGACCCAACATGGACCTGCACTTTCTCCCTTTCTGAATGCTGTATATCCAGTCCCCTGGACAGAGCTGTCATTGACTGACCTCTTCAGTTTTTCAAGTATCCTTATCTTTTTCTCATTTACTAGTCCTGACCCTGGGGAGTGTTTGCGGTGGTCTGCCGCTGACGGATCCAAGATTCACAGACATTCCTCATCTCTCTAGTGCCAACCATTGAGACCAGCGAACAACCAATACCACATGTCTGACAGAAAACTGGTCCAGGGCAAAGAGTCTTAACAGGTGAGGTAATGTGCAGACCTAACCCACCCATAATAGCTCCTGACACCTCAGTCCAAGAAGAAGAGGGCAAAGGCCTCACCTTGAATTTCTAACCAGAGTCATGTAGCCTTGAAGCAAATATTTTTCTTACTCTGGGATCAGCCTTAATTATACATTTTACTACCACTCCTTCTGAATACACGAATATATTTCAGGTCTATTCTGAGAGGTATGTTGCTAAAGAAATATATCTTTTAATTCTATGTAACAGACATCTTTAAAAATTGTTTCAATGAACTGTTTTCAAATTTATTTGGCCCAATTTGATTCAAGTATTGGAGTGCCAGAATTATTTTCAAATTCTTTCACAGCTAAAGTAAATTTTTTTTCAGGTCAATGTAATTAATGCACTTTTACCTTTTGGCAACTAAATTTTCTTTCAAATATAAAATTTATAAAAAGATATAATCAATTCAAAAAGAATAAATTCAATACCATTACCTGCACCTTGAAAGGTTCAAATGTATTAATGGGATGTGTTAGACCATATACAACTTTTTCATTTTCTGCTTCAAATGTCCCTGGAAGATAAACAATAATGATATGATCTTTGACTTTCTGTGAATTAAGGAGTTAATTTAATTTTTTAAATGCTCATACTTTTTACTTACCAAAAATTCTATCCCATATAATAAGAGTTCCAGCAAAATTTTTGTCTATGCAATAACGGTTTCTGCCTGTGAGACAAAATATTAAGTTTATTTTTTAAAAAGGAAGTTATACTTTTGAAACAATGATATTCCTAAAAATATCTTTTCACTGACAACACCAGATTCTATGAAGTGTGTACTCCATCGTCTGGTGAACTCTTTCCTACTACATCTGAAGAGATCTAAGGAAAAAGGAAAATCTAAAAGCCAGACATGGAAAGGTTTTTTGGTTGTTGTTTTTTTTTTTTTTCCCTCTAATCCTTGCTTTGAAGATGAGGTTTGTCCAGCTACAAAAGAAGAAGCAAATGCCTATTTGTAAAATGTGTGGTGACTAGACTGGGTAATTGTGATGAAACGATACAAAATAATATCATTTTTTTAAGAAATGAAGAAAGAAAGATCAAATTTCCTCACCATGATGAACCCTATGATGGCTAGGAGTATTAAGAATCAGTTCCAAAGGACCAAGGTTATCGATGACCTTTATAAAAGAAAAGGAGCACAGTTATTATTAAATTATATGTAATATTTAAGTACTGACATTAAAATTCCACATGGTTATAAAATGTTGCGATTTTCAGTCAGAAAAAATTTCTCTATCTTCTGGTGTTTATATAAAGATAGCAGTAAGCTCATCATATATCTAAGAGACAATATAGCATAGTAGTGAGGTTAAGAGCTTGATTGCCTCAGTTTAGTTCCTGAATCCTCTGTTTATTATTATGTGGCACTGGGGAAATTACTTAAAGTTTTTGTAACTCAGTTTCCTTACCTTTAAAATGGGAATAATAATGGTATCTGGCTTGCCTGGTGGCTAAGACAATAAAGAATCTGTCTGCAATGCAGGAGAGCCACGTTTGATCCCTGGGTTGGGAAGATCTTCAGGAGAAGGAAATGGCAACCCACTCTGATATTCTTGGCTGGAGAATTCCATGTGCAGAGGAGCCTAGCAGGCTACAGTCCGTGGGGTCACAAAGAGTGGGACATGACTGAGAACTAACACTTTCACTTTAGTAACTACATAACAGTGCTCTGAGGGTTACAAATGTTACTGTGTTTGGATGCCACTGTGGCCAAGGCATAATTCTTTCAGGTCTTGTGTCATTTTATGTTATTCACCTATCAACTATTCTTTGTTGATTTATAATAACAGAGCATAACTAGGGGAGAGAAAACCAAGTATTACATTTATTTTCTGGAGTTGGATTCACCCAATAATCAGTCATGTAGCAACTTACTATTGCAGTAGCATTAGGGTGGTCCTTGCTTATTCAAGTAGACGCCTAAATGTTCTCTGACTGTAAATGCCCCATTTTTCAGTCCATTTTTGAGGCATATTTCAAAGTCAAATATGTAAAGGGGACTTTTTTTTGGTATTAGACCCTTTAAAATTTGGTTTAGAATTCTCTAATGTTCTCTCCCAACATTTCTCAGTAAGAATCCCTTGTGCCAGAATCTTCAAGAAATGTAGAAACCAGACAAGTAGCATTAAAAAGAGCAGGCCATATATAAGACATTTGTTATGGTATATGATTAATATTAAACAATGTGGGAACTCTTTTAATCTTGATCACATTATTCTTTCTTCCATCAATGATGGGAGATAACAATCTTTTATTTTTCTTTAATCATAATCTAAATGACCTGTTAGAATCTACATATTACAAAATCAGTACATTTTAATGATATTTTAAGAGGTCGCTCACCTCCAAAGTTAATACCCATTTAAAGGATATGTTAATATAACGAATACAGCAACCTGTTAAATACTGCCTAAAGGGGAAAAACATCACTGACAATCATGACACTGGCATAAATTTGGCAATAAGTCAATGGTACATGAAAAAAATAGGGAATGGGACCGCTCCAAACACAAAGATATTTAAGATACATAACACCCAAATGTATTGTGGGGGATCCTGTTTAGATAACAAACCAAATATCAAAGATATTTTATAGGCAATGAGAGAAATTTGATTATAAACATGGTATAACATAATAAAAATACTTTTATTAGGAGTTATAATGTCATTGCCATTGCATAGGAAAGGTGGTTGTTTTTTGAGTTGTATAACTAAAGTACACATGACATGAAATCTAGGTTTTGCTGCATTATATCTGGCAATTAAAAGTAAAAAATAACTAATGAAAATGAATCAAAATCATTATGTTTTTATTGAAATATAGTTGATTCACAATGTTGTGTTAGTTTCAGATGTACAGCAAAGTGATTCAGGTAGACATATCTATTCTTTTTCAGATTCTTTTCCACTACAGGTTATTATAAGATATCATAACGATTTTTAAATTGAAGTGATAGAGCTATGAACATTCACTGTATTATTCTCTCTAGTTTTCTGAATGCTTGAAAAATTTTAATAAAAGAAATTACTACTCTGATATTATATAGTCATGCTCATTTAGCCAGTTGAAAATATTAATAGATCCCTACAGTTCCAAACAAACATCTAGATTATAACTCTTTATGTAGCAGAGTTTAATCACATTTTGGCAACCTCTGCCATTGAAACATCCAATTTACAATTGCAAGCATGGACAGCTGCAGTAGCTACGCAGTCCTCAGCTTGTTGGGGTTCTGAAGGTTCCTAATCTAGAAGAAACAGCAGCACTGCCTCATGAGGATGCTGCAACTCTCCATGTGGCAGGTGCAACCAGCATCTCCTTATGAGACCCACTGTTTACACACCTGAAAGAAACAGTCCTTGCCCTGTACCCTGCTGACCAGCTTCTAAGGGCTTCTTGGTTTCCATTACAGAACAGACATGCAAAGGATACAAATGTTTGCAATGCAAAGGATGTGTAATGTTATGTAGTGTGTGTTGATTTAGGCTCTTCTCTCTCTTTTCTAATCTATAGTTCTAGTGTCATTTTCAAAGTTATTTCCATAAGAAATGTATTATGAGGTCCAAACAACAGACTTTTTGGTTGATTCATAGACCAGAACTCATTTATATATGAAAAACTCTGTAATTTTTCATTTCAGGAGTTCAAAATATTGTAGATATACAGCCCTTATATCAGACCACAGTTCTATGAAATAAGGTGCAAAAATATTATCCTACAAATGCATTATTAATCACCAGGAATTGGGAGGGGAGTTAGTAGAAACAACCATGGATTTTATTGGACTCCATTGCTTTGTACTTGATGGAAAAATATTTGTTGAAAAGAAGAATGGTGATGTATAGAGAACAAAAAAGTGGGATTTCTCAGCAGTCAGGACATTGAAATCTGATACTTTGCACAGGCCCTGTATCTCTGGCAGAGAACCAGATGGGAAAGGAGAAAAGCATTTATCCTTGTTTGTCTCTTTGGTGGCTAACATATGTTACAAAAACAGACAGCAAAAGGGGGTGGAGGAGGCCATGCTAACCGGCTTCTGCTACCCAGATGCATTTCTGATCCCTGGTCCTGGTGTGTGTGCAGCCACATTTAAAGCCACACAAATGGTGAGTGAATTCAGATGATGGGAGCCTTGGCTGAGGGCATTGTTTTTTTTTTAATGTCAAGCACTTTTCCTCAAAGAAAATCCTTTGCTTCTGCAGGCTAACGCATGGTGATAGCAATACTGAAAGTGAGTTTTTTTGTTTGTTTTTTTTTTAAGTAAAATGCCAAGTACAACACAGGCAACCACAGTCAAATTTCCTGGTAGTTCCTATGAGTACCTTGGAGCTGGGGAAGACCACCTCGGTGTGGGAGATGATTCATCATTCAGACAGCCCAGTCAGAACCTCTCCTGAAAAAAACCCTTCTGATTCAAAGTCATGGAGAAGTCATTAATAATTAATTTGGACTGAGTATAACAACCTAATTATCTCCCACTTTTGCAAATTCAGTCGTTTAGCAATTCAACTATGTCCAGCTTTGTATCACTTCCTGAAAATATGTTACTGTGAAAATAACTGGAGCTATTCTCATTTTTTTAGAAGTTACTTATTTATCTTGTCTTTTTACATTTAGATGAGTTAATTTAAATTATGAAATTTTAGAACATATAGAGGACTTAAAAATAAGACAGTACAAGACTGTATTATAATAAAGCATAAAACTGAAGCTCAGGGAAGCTAAATTACTAGTCCAAGTTTAAATATCTTGGAAGAAGCCCTAAAGTCTTCTCAGTTTCAACTCTAATCCTATTGCTCTTTCATGTTGCTTTTAAAAGATATAGCACTTTTTCCATCAAATAAAAGTAATCTACATTTTTAGAACTTTTTTTGTGTGTGTGTGTGTGTTTTTTTCCATTTATTTTTATTAGTTGGAGGCTAATTACTTTACATCATTGCAGTGGTTTTTGTCATACATTGAAATGAACTAGCCATGGATTTACATGTAATCCCCATCCCAGTCCCCCCTCCCACCTCCCTCTCCACCCGATCCCTCTGGGTCTTCCCAGTGCACCAGGCCCGAGCACTTGTCTCATGCACCCAACCTGGGCTGGCGATCCGTTTCACCCTAGATAATATACATGTTTCAATGCTGTTCTCTTGAAACATCCCACCCTCGCCTCCTCCCACAGAGTCCACAAGTCTGTTCTATACATCTGAGTCTCTTTTTCTGTTGTGCATATAGGGTTATCGTTACCATCTTTCTAAATACCATATATATGTGTTAGTATACTGTAATGGTCTTTATCTTTCTGGCTTACTTCGCTCTGTATAATGGGCTCCAGTTTCATCCATCTCATTAGAACTGATTCAAATGAATTCTTTTTAATGGCTGAGTAATATTCCATGGTGTATATGTACCACAGCTTCCTCATCCATTCGTTTGCTGATGGGCATCTAGGTTGCTTCCATGTCCTGGCTATTATAAACAGTGCTGCGATGAACATTGGGGTGCACGTGTCTCTTTCAGATCTGGTTTCCTCAGTGTGTATGCCCAGAAGTGGGATTGCTGGGTCATATGGCAGTTCTATTTCCAGCTTTTTAAGAAATCTCCACACTGTTTTCCATAGTGGCTGTACTAATTTGCATTCCCACCAACAGTGTAAGAGGGTTCCCTTTTCTCCACACCCTCTCCAGCATTTATTGCTTGTAGACTTTTGGATAGCAGCCATCCTGACTGGCGTGTAATGGTACCTCATTGTGGTTTTGATTTGCATTTCTCTGATAATGAGTGATGTTGAGCATCTTTTCATGTGTTTTTGTGCCATCTAGAACTTTAATGGGAAATGCTAACTAAATGCTTTCTGACTACATTTCAAAATGAAATCCAGGTATTTATAAAGACCCCAGGAATTTCAGCTTCTAAACTGTGCTTATGGTTATTTTAGGCACTTCTAGAGTTTCTTAGATCTCTTAAACAATGGTCTGTGTTTTGTAGCTGTAGTTTTCTGTCAGGGTTTTTTATAACCCAAAGGCCATGGATGCCTAGAAAGGCCATTTATGGGCTTCAGAAGGCCAAGAACACCCTGAAGTGTCTTAGCAGATTTTATGAGTATGTGACTATTGGTATTTTTCT